TCTGGCAAGACAAGCTCGCGAGCCATTCCACCACGTTGAATTGCCGGTAGTTATTTTCTAAGCAAAGTTTAAATGTTGCACAAGGCTGAGAGTGTGAATCACCTGATGGGGATTGAACTCACTACTCAGTGGTAACTGATACTTGCTCAACATTGCACCAGGTCAAATTGCTCAACTCTACTAGGTTATGTACATTGATATTTTTCTGTGATTCTGTTATTGATAATCAAGAGTCCCCCCCTGTTTTTACTCTCCTCTTTGAGAGAGCTATTTCTGTTTACTGGGACTATAAAAGGACACTATACGCGAACCTTGTATTCTCAGTTGAATAAAGCTTTCTTAAAGCCTACACCTGCGTACTTTTGTCATTACAGATACTTATATCTATTTTTTAATTATTTTATAACTTGGAATTAAATCTAGGAATAATCGAAATTAATTGCGAAATCCATCAAAATTTACCCATGAAATAAAATAATTGTTTGTACAGAAAGTAATGACCTGCGAACATCAAATTGTCTTTAAATTGAGTGGCGCTAGAATAATTATCCTTGAACTCTTAAAAGGTAAAGTTTAATGTTAATGCAATACTTAAATGAAGTGATGAATTTTGAGTTCTTCTGTAGTTTATTGTTGCCCATCGCAGACGGCAGCAATATTCCTCGCAAAAGGAAATCTCCGCTAACAGAGGACTAGATGGCAAACAAAATGACGAAGGCAGCAGCGAGGAAAATGAAAATGAAAACCCAGATCAAACGTCAGCCAGATAAACGTCCAATGTTGAGAATATGCAAGGAAACTCTCAAACTCCTGAACAAGTCGAAGGTCCAATCAAGAGATTTCTGCAGGAGTTAGTTTAAAATTCCGCCCGATAGGGAGACTTTTAAGCTAGTCTATTGTGCAATATTAAAGCCTAAATCTGCGTACTTTTGTTATTACACGAACAACCAAGGTGAACATTTTTGTCCGAACAGCAAAACATATCAATAACAATAATTTCTTACTACAAGTATCGGGTAACCCCAGTTGTCTGAAATTACGTTGGGTCATAGTCGTTTTTGTAATGATTAATAAAATATATAGATAAAGAATCCAAAAAGAAGACGCATTAAATGGCGAATAAATATTAGAGAAACAACGTTTGGCTTCTTTTCTCACCAAGTCGAAATCAGGACGCACAGATTAATAATCAAACTCATTTACAATGGCTTCGATAACTAAATTGCTAATCATTTGCTTTTATGTAACCAAACTAGGATACTCGTGTGCGTTAGCTTCCAATTTCCTATAACCTACTGTAGAAAAGAATTAATTGCATTGAAAGTTTTGAAATTTCTGACAAAAGTTTAGTATTTTTTTCCTGGCGGTTATAACTGTCGGTTTGCGCATGTGTAGAGATTAAGTTCTCTTACCGTCTGCAAGTATATCATCAAGTATTTATGAATTGGATACGAGAAATTATATCGACCATATTATATCTATATAGCATAAAGCCAAGTTTGACAACATCAAGCTATCTTCCTTTTACTTTTTCGTAACTACTTCAATTCTTATTAATCATATTTTATCTGCATCCTTTTGCTTCTAAGGATGCTCGATTCTTTTTCTTTTTCCTTACTTTTCTTCTCTGTTATTAATATCCTTCCGATAGATTTTTTTTTATTATTTTCATTTAATTCTCATACGTTTCTTCCATTTCTTGTCATTCTTTGTAAATATATTTATCGTTTTGTTTCATCGATTTCTACCGCTTTTCCAAATCTCCATTCAAATCTCACTTGTCATTATCTTCTCGAATAAATTCTCGGTTCCTTTCATTTATTTTCCTGTTCCCTTTTAGTCTCTTTATCCTGTATGTATAAATTCTTCCTTCTTTCTTTATTCTAATTCTCAGATCCTTCTTTAGTTCCTTTTTCCAATATTTGTTCTTTTATTTTTTTATTTTTTTTTTATCTTTTCTGCCGTTACCAGCCGATAACTTTTTATCATTCTCATCTTCGTCTAGTTGATTTCGTATTCTCTTATTCCCATTCTTTTATTCCCATTCTCTTAATCTATTCTATCCTTTCCTTTTTCGCTTAACTACCTTCTTTTTTTTTTTTTTTTTTTTTTTTTATTCTCATAGACTCCTTATCCCTATTCTATTATTCTTGTTTCATTTTCGGTGACTCCAGATGTTAGCAAATACTTACGGCTTCTTAAATTTATTCACACTCGTATTTCTTATTCCGTTATTCGTGTATTCTTATTCATATTCTTTTTTATCGTCTTTTTTAAACCTCTTCATCTTCATAATCTTTCCATTTTTATTCTAATTCGTATTCTTTTCCTTCACCACCGTAAACATTTTTTTTTAGTTCTACGTTCTTCCTTCTTATCATTCACATCTTTGATTCTGTCGACAGTGTATTTTCAAATTCTGATCTCAGTTCTTTATCTACGTTTCTTTCTCTTCAACGTTTTCCTTCATTGTCAATCAGGAAGGCGATTGAACTTGCATATATTTGTGCGTATGTGTGTTTGAGCGAGAGAGAGAGAGAGAGAGAGAGAGAGAGAGAGATTTTAATATTCACTCATACCACGATGACCTCCAATTCAATCAGATCTATTGGCCGGTGTGTTTGTGACAGTTTTGAAATCTATCGACAACAGAACATGACAATACCAAAGCGAAGTGCATCGCTTCTAGTTTTCAAAAGTGGCAAAAAACATCAGTGTTTGAAAGAGATTGAGACTTGCCCAGAATCTGTTTCTATTTTATTCATCAGTGAATTACAATTCTAGCAAAGGAAAAGAATATGAATAAATCACAAATATTGGCTTGTCCATCAAGTCCAGTTTGTTGTTCTGCGAAAACGTTGGTTCCGGGTGAGCCATTTTTTGTTTTCTGCATATTTTGTGGTCCATCGTTAGATTCCTTGCATTTCGTGTACATTAGAGAAAATTCTGGCTTTTCGTATTAATATAAAGTATTGTAATTATTGTGGAACTCTTCTCTCTGCTTTATTCTTTTGATTTTCCTTATTCTACGTCTTTTTCTTTTGTTTTTTTTTTCGAATTGCATTCATCTTTTTATTCTCTTTTCCTCTTCTTTTTGTCATTTAAATACATGCGTTTTTTCTCTTCTCTAATTCCTTTTTTCACACTTTCTTTCTTTCTTCTTGGTTCACTTTTATGTCTCCTCCTCTTCGACATCTTTGTTCTTCTTTTTCTACTTTTTTTCTACTACTTCTTCTTCTCCATCTCCTCCTCTTCCTCGTCCTTTCACCGTCTTTTCTCTTCTCTAATTATTTTCTGCATATTTTCTTCTTCTTCTTCTTCTTCTTCTTTTTCTTCTTCTTCTCCTCCTTTTCTCTTCTTTTCTTTTTCTTCTTGTCTTCTCGTTCTCTTCTTTTTTCTTCTTCTTTTTCTCCTCCTCCTCCTACGCTTCTTCTTCTCCTCCTCTTTTTCTTTTTTCTTTTCTTTCTCTCCCCTTTTCTTCTTCTTCTTTGTTTTATCGTCTTTACTTTATTTTTTTTCCCCTTCTTTTGTAATTTTTTTTTTTCATCTTTTTCTCCGACTCCCAATTAAATGTGTCTCCGCTCACAACAATCTTAATTTGTTCAAGTCTACGGTCAACCGTTATCTTCCCCAAATATCCAAATAAAGTGTGCCTCTAAATCTGTAGCCATCTACCTCGAGTGATTCCCGGGCCTGTACAGGGTGACACAAGGCACTTGATATTTGGGGGGGGGTATCCTTCGCTCCATATTTTCCTTTCATTATTTCTTTCTATCTGTCTTACCTTTTCGCGATTCGACTTTTATCTTCACCTTTTTCTTTTCTTCGATTCTTTTCCGTCTTTTTTATCCGCTCTTTCAACTTCTCTTTCTTTTGTCGTCTTCCTTCTTTTCTTTCTGTTTCTCTTTTCCATCTTCTTTCGACTCCTCTTAAATAGTATCATTGTGTCTTGAAAAAAATAATTGTTATTCCCAAATGATTGTATATGCAATATTCGCTAGCAAAAGATATCCATATTTGATCTGCATTTGATCGTTAACACACACATATATATATATATATATATATATATATATATATATATATATATGTGTGTGTGTATGTGTGTTTGTGTGTTTGTGTATGTGTGTATGTATGTGTATACGTCTATATATATATATATATACAAACACACACACACATATATATATATATATAATCATCCACAGAGAGACTGTTTCGTTGTATCACAGCAGAGGAGCGTTCGGTTAGCAAGGTCGAATTTACTGCATTTAAACTTCAATCTTCCAAATCGTTAAAAGCACGTCAAGCTAAATGACGGTTCCGTATGGGATGCAGGTTCGAATCCTGTCGGAGGACGAATATTTTCTGTGAAAATTTCTCGGGCATTCAGGCCGGTAAATGTAGTTTAATAGTGTTTATTATAAAAACAGAGCATTTACTTAAATATTTGTATCTCTAAAAAGAATGTATAAACATAAAAATGTCTTAAAATAATTGTCGGACTTTGTCCATTTTATAATGTGTGACGTCTTATATATATATATATATATATATATATATATATATATATATATATATATATATGCCACTAGGGACCACTTGTAAATCAAAATCCCTTAAACTGTTCCTATGAACATGTCCTTGGAGCCCAGTGTTCGATAAGGAAAGACAGGAATTAACTAATTATATATATATATATATATATATATGTATATATGTATATATATGTGTGTGTGTGTGTGTGTGTGTGTGTGTGTGTGTGTATTATTAGGATGGTTAGGAAATCGGCTGCGGTATAAAAGTAACGGTACCATGCCATGTCATGTAGATTCCTATGACACTTACCTTATCTTATATTTTTAGTTTTCTTTTCCCACTTAAAAAGCTGTTTTACGCTGAGCGATTTTCGAAATGTTTAAGTGTTCTTAAACCATGTTACCAAGATTAATCGTTCTTCCTTTCATATTTTTAAATTAACCTTTTATTTCTCAGAGGCTCTTGATGTATGTTATTGTCATTTTTCCTACATACCGCTTTATGTTCCTCTTGAACATGTGTTTTTTTTTTCATTATTACTCCATTTTTCCTTCTTACACTTCATTTTACAATGGCGTTTACTTCAATATTTTGACAGTCTTAGCTTTTATATTTTCGTATTTTAACTATAGCAAATGACTTGCGTATCACTCCTTGAATTCTTTAAAATGCATTTTTTACTTAGTTTTTTTTTTTTTTTTTTTTTAAATAGAGCCCTTTTTTTATATGCAAGAAAACGGAATACCCTGCAAGAGTAAGAAGGCACTAAACGAATCAAATCAAGATATTCCGTCTTGAGGAAATCTCTTCCGTCCTTTTGCCTTCCGGCCGCCTTTGATATTCAAAATGTGACGTTGCTTCTCTGTCTTTTCTACAAATATTTTCATGGCAACTGTTCTGACGAGTTTTTTTCCTCGTGTCCTGATTGCATGAATTTCAGCGTGCCACTAGATTAGCATCTAGGTCCCACCCGTTCACTGTTGAAATAGCTAAATGCAACCGCCACTTCTTCTCTAAGTTTCCTTTCTCGCACTCCCGACCTGTGGAAATCCCTTCCATTTACTTGCTTCCCTGATAACTATCATCTTCAAAAGTTGAAATGCAACGTCAATCGTCATCTTCTGTCTTTCCGTTCATGTTTTGTCCTTTCCTCATTTCTTCCTATTCTTAGTCGATCACTTTCCCCACCCTGCGTGCTAGTGGCATCCCCGCCTTGCTTGCGGAGAAATGTTTCAAAAATAAATAATTCGGATTATTGGATACTCGATGTTTTAAATGGCTTTATCAGCACCTACGAATTATGATCCGTTTCCTTGCTAGAATAAGAAGACAATAGCAAAGAAAATATTCATATGATATTCCGTTTGATTATTATTGAATATCGATTACTTTCATTTAATTGCTGGCCTTCTATAAATTGCCTTCAATTAAGGCCCGATTCCTATACAGAGGAAGAAAACCCGCAAGAAAGAAAATACGAGATATCTCGCCAGCCTTTTCCAAATGTTTAATACGCTTCATTCGTATCAGATGCTTCTCACTAGATTATAAAAAAAAAAACCTTTGCTTTTTGCCACTCCAATAAAGCAATCACATTTCCAATTTCACTTGAAATTGCACATTGCTTGAACGCAGTATGTGGGTGTTTTTTTGGTTTTTTTTTCTATATTTTCTTATGTCTACCGCTTTCTTTTTCTTCTTCAACACAAAATATTTTTTCTATTTCCGTCTTCTATATATATATATATTTTTATTTGGCTTTTCTTGTCTCACCTTATCCACTTTCTCGACCTTCTTGTTACCCGCCTTCTGCTTTCTCTTGTGTTTGTCTTTCTAAAATTCGTTTCTCCGTTTCTCTCTCTCTCTCTCTCTCTCTCTCTCTCTCTCTCTCTCTCTATCTCTCTCTCTCTTAATACACCACATTTTTTAAATAACATGATTTCCTAATGTAGTTTTGCGATTGCAACATACCTATTCAAACAAGTAATTTTGTTTTGTGTTGTTTTTGTTTTTTTAACTTAGTGTTTCCACGCCTATTTTTTAAATATTTTCCTCTCCTGATGCATGATTTCTCCCATGGAATGTAGTCCATTTGAAAATGTAGCAGATTATATTGCAACATCATTTCTTCTGACATTCAAACAATTTTAGTAAATATCTTATAAAATTAATTTTATATTTATATATTATATATATATATATATATATATATATATATATAAAAAAGAAGAAGAGGCCGCACCTTGTTTTTATAATATATATATATATTATATATATATATATATATATATATATATTATACAGACAGACTGTTCCATAGACGCCCCTTCGTCAGGATCTGTAGGGATGGAGGTCTACTGGTTGTTATGCATTGAAAGATAAATGATCGCCTATTTTCCTAACTGACCGACACTGAACGACATGTGCTTGCTCGAAAATAGAATTTGAGACCCCAAAATGTTTCAGTCCCATTAGTATGTCTCAATTTTCCCTGATGCGTTAGTAAGCTTGTTTCGCCAAATCAAGATTGATTCGATCCTCAAGCCTTGTACCACATCCAAGTACGCTCAGAAAATACCATTATAACGTCTCAATTATGGAACGTCTCAATTATTAATGTGCTAAATACTGACCGTAGACCCCATCCGATGAAGAGATATCGGCTCAGGAGAAGGGTCCCCGTAAAAATGGATTGAAATAGGTCATTTTATAGCTCAAAACCTAAAGGACAGAAACAAAAGAGTTTTTAATCAATACCTCCGTGATCTCAGTTTACATAAACAATTACAATGTCTGCCCTATAATATTTACGGCGGAGTAATGGACAGCGGCACGGACTGAGGAATCGGAGAAACGAGTTCGAATTCTAGTCAAATCCATTACATTCACTTACGTGCTAATACCCTTAAGAAAGATGTGAATCCTCTTCTTCTTCCCCTTGCCAGCTATGGGTAAATATAT